CCCCTAAGCCCATTTTATCGCCTTTATTGTCCCTACCCTAGGTGGCCATTGCCCACTACCCATGTTCAGTGAGTTTCTGCAGGCTGCACTATTTGAGTCAAATTGACATCCTACCATCACTACGTACGGGAGCCATAAAACTGGCAAATGTTGTAATGAACGCATTTTGAGGGACATTACTGGAAGTATCTGGACGGATTTAGGCCCAGAACCATTCGAATGTGCCTTTGTGTGACTATTTCCCTTAGGGTTGGGAAAGACGTTGGCCATGTGCGAGAAGCAAACAAGGAATACAAACCAAGGGGTTCTTGATGGAATGCCGCTGTACTTCACTGTATTGTGCTCAAATAGCTCCGTCCCAATGCACCTGGATGTGCAGGTGGCCGAGTGCATCATCATCTGTACTGGGACGTAAAGTCGACCACATGCATTCTGACACAGGCGGCTGCACAAGTGAAACCGAAGTACACAGAGACATAGCTAAAAAACAACCGTGGTTCTCAGAGAGTACGTAATCTGTCAGAATGTACCTGGACGTGCAGGTGGGCAGGTGCATGATCAATACCGCAACAACAAGTCACCTATGCTTGACAACGCAAACTGACGGGTGCTCATACCACCTCTCCTAGCAAGGACACCGGGGTAATTAAAAAAAAAAAAAAAAAAATCTTGCCACCTCTCCTAGCAAGGACACCGGGGTAATAATACAAAGAAAGAGGGGGAAAAAAAAAAAGAAAAAAAAAGGCATAGCCAGAGAACAACCACAGCATAGCCCGGGAACAAGCGTAGTTAGTGGTTAGGCAGGAGACGCAAAGCCTGAGAACAACCATGGTTACCTTCGTCGCCCGAATACGAAGTACAGTCATTATGGCTGGTATCTAGACAGAAAGATGCCTCAAATACAGCTATAATGACCGTGTGTTGTATTCGGGGGAAGAAGGTAGTTGTCAGACAAACACAGTTTGATCATACTGATCATACCTGTGGTTGATGCTTCCTCGTAACAGTTTGAAAAAGCTTGAAATACTCGTCATCACACATTCCACTGAGAGGAAACTCTGCCGGCAAGTGTAAATCCCCCTCCTGGAGCTTCATGACATTTCCGGTCTTCCCACACTCATTCTGCATCACATGTAGTCTACTTGCCACCGGGTCCATCTGATCACTGTCACCCGTGAAAGATATGTCCAGCACCTGCAAGCCGAGAATCGATACCATGACCTTCAGCATGTGAACTTCCAGGCAAAGCGATGTGCAGATGTACAGATGAAACAAGAGAGAGAGAGAGGGAGAGAGAGAGAGAGAGAGAGAGAGGGAGAGAGAGAG